GTGCACCTAGGTAAAGTACATTATATTGTAATACAAATATTTGATCTATTTTAATTAATCAAGATATATGTAATTATGTATTTAAAAAAAATATATTGATATATTTGTTTCTATGAATTTTGAATAGGTTTGAATTTGAGATTGGAGTCAAAATAATAAATTGATATTGAACAAAATTGTATTATTATTAAATACATTATATAATAATAATTGAATTAGTTAATTTTTTTACTTATTTTTTTTGCTTTGTAATTTTCTATTACTAATTGGTATGCTAGCTATCTTTTAATTATGTAATGAATTAGATACCTTACATTTCTTTTTAGTTTGTATTATAAAATATAATATGTTAATATTGAAATAATAAAATAAGTGATTAACACGTGTGGTTGTTATTATATCTCAATTGGAGATTTTAAGCATACATAGATTTTTTTTGGTGTATAATGTAAACAAGTTTTTAATGCATTTATATTTTTTTAGAGATTTGAGATTACAATATATAGAATTTTGTAATAAAAAAAGCTATTATCAAGAACAATAAAAGAACTAAAAAATTAATAGACTATTGTATCACTCAATTAAAAGTTTAATATAATCTTGCATCACTCAAAAAGACAAGAAAATCACTCAAAGATTGTATAATATTAAACTAGAATGGTTACTACTAAAGACAAGAAGACTAAAAAGTCTTGAAACAAGATTGAGGATTAGAAAGGCATTGATAAGAGTGAAGAAGGTTTCACTCTTGCCTTCATGTATACTATCTACTTAAGAGTTATATGTAAACGTTCTTTAGGACTTCCAACATGTATCCAACTTGTAAGATACATGTCTTAACTTGCAAGGCAATTTTTCTATATGCATGCTACATAGTTAGCTTATACCAAAGTGTACCAATACATGCAACATGTAGCTAATTTATTGATCAAGTTTCTAATCTATCAATCAATTACAAACACATGTAAAGTCAAAGCTACATCTATAAAGCTTCTATGAAGCATTCCTATAAGATATTATCAAATTTATTTACTTTGATCTACTTCTACCTATTCATATTTTCTGGATAAGTATTGGAATAAATATGTATGTTTATGATAGCTATAAGATATTTTACTTTAATCTACATCTTGATATTAGTTGTAAAATAATAACAAAAATATGATACAAGAAATGTAGTAGATTATCATAATGAGTTGGCTATATTATACTCACATCATTGTACTATATGTCTTCTTGTATTGTTGTATTGTATGTTTATTCTTATTAATATAGGTGTTAGATCTTGTAAAATAGATCTAATATTTTTTATGTTTGATACAATATGTGAGCTGATTCAAAACATTGTTGTATTAAATATTTTCTTATTTAGAAATATACCAAATACTTGATTGTAGAAGATAAAGTTGTAATTTACAACTAAAAAAAACCTTAAAATCCTAATAATTTTTTAAAATAAATATTAATTGAATATTAATAATTATAATAAAATCTTTATCAAATCATAAAAAATGTTTAAAATTAATTTAAAAAAATTCCATAAAAAATCTTTAAAAATTCTTACATAAATTATTATTGAATATAATCAAATCTTAAGAAAATTCTTTTAAATTCTATTAAAATCCTAAATCAATCTTGAAGATATTTTTAATTAATTTTTAATCAAGTTCTTATTAAAACTTAATCAAATTCTAACCAATTTTAATCAAATTCTATAAAAAATTTAAAATCTTAATAATTATTGATTTATTTTTTAATCTTGATTTTGAAATTTATACTTTTCAATCTATAAATTAAAAATAAGAAAAAAAAATTTGAATAAAATTAAACTTATAAATTGGCATAATAAGCTTATAATCCACTTAGATATTCATGTGTTCTTTTTTCAACCTTGATGTCAATCTTCCAATGTTAATAGTTTCTTTTTGTTCTATTTATTTTTTTTAAATATTTTTTTAGATATCTAAAACTAAGTCAATTATTAACTCTCAAAAGAATAATTTTAATATAACCAAAAAATACTAAAAATCATAAAAAAATCCTTATTTTTATAAACCAATAAGGATTTTTTTATAAGATTTTAAACTATATAAATTTCAATAATCTTTGATCTAAATGTTCAATAAAGTTGAAACTTATAACAAACATCTGTTACAACTATGATGACAAATCTACTATTTATATTTATAAATATGCTATAAAATTAATACAATTCTCTAAAATATAAATTCTTTTTTAATTCAATAAATCTAGAGTCATCTAAAACAACTTTAACTTTGCTAAGCTCTCACAAAGTGCTTATTAACTCAAATTCTTCCAAGCCAATACTTTAAGAAATTTTATTATTATTATTATTATTATTATTATTTTCTAATTTCATTCTCTAATCAACAAAATAAACTCACAATTGCCGTAAGTGCAAGATTTTACATCTTCTGATTTGGTTTTGACCTTGGTTTACAATTGATCCTCTTATTATATTAATCTAAGGATTTTTTTAGGTAATTTTTATTTTAAAATATTATTTATTCTTATTTAAATATACCTTTAATATTATTTTTTCTAATTTACTTTATTTTTCCATATTTAAGGTTCTACTAATAAGTAAAAACCATATTTATAATTTTTTAATATTAACACTAAATTTATTTCTACTTCCCTATTTTTTATATAAAGTTTTTTTAAGTAATTTTTTACAATATTTTTCAATTAATTTCTTTTATAATATAATCATATATTTTTTTCTTTCACCCAATACTTGTATTACAACACAAAATTGTTAGTGGTGTAAAGATGCTTTCGACTTGCATGAATAGCATTAGAATTCCACTTTTATGCTATTGATCCAAGCTCTTATGCAATTTATTGATTACTTATGTGGTCTAGATTTGGATTGTACTAATACAAATCAAACAAGACTCTAATTGATTTCCTCACTAGTTTTTAAACCATATTGGAACTATTGTAGATTTAAATCTACTTTGATATAGGTATATCACTTTCAACACATTGATTGATGCTCTAGCTCAAAGTGGAGAGAAATTTGCACAGCCTTGCAAATTAGTAGCTGGAGATGCTTGCAAGCCAGCCTTTGCAATACACATGTCTCCTAGGCTGCATTTTAGATATTTAATTTCTCTTACTAACTCCCTCTTAAAGCAATCAAGTTTGCATCCCACCTCCCATCTATCAAACTCTTTTCACTTTATGCTATCTTCAGTATTAGATCATATATATATTAAGAGTTTAAAGTTGTTAAAGAAATAATCACAATATTTTATATTAAAGTGTGATTACAATTTTATAGTGCATCATATTGTAAAAAGACAGAAAGTTTTGAAAGTGGTTTTGAAAATAAAATAAATAATAAAACTTTTAAAAATAATTTTTTAGAATACAGATTTAATATTTTCTTATAAATCTATTTAAGATTTTGGATAGAATACATAAAATATATTAAAAATATTATTTTTGTATGTATGTGTAGCTAATTTATTTAAAACAATAAAAAAAATGTGATTTTCTTAATTTTCTTTAATATAAACAAACCAAATATTAAAAAAACATAAAACTTGATACTTGTATAGATTGAATAATATATATATATATATATATATATATATATTATTCAACACAAATTGATTTAAAATATTGTAATGCACAAAAATAAAAAGTCTTCTTTTTCTAATGCATGTATGTATGTGTGTGTACATTTAAGATCTAGTTATATCATTGTATATGACAAAAAAATTATGAGATAAAAATATTACAGACATCAAATAAAGGTGGCATAGAATCTTATTTTATGCTTTATCTAGCAAATGTAATAATTCATGCTTTTCGTTTCTCAAAATCCAGTTCTTATGAATAAAAAAAATCCACAAAGTACTTCTGATATTATCTAAAAATAAAAAATACTTTTGAAATTCCTAATTTCTAAATTAATCTTTTATTATGTTATATTCTGCCAAACCTATCAGGGAAAATCTAGATGATAAAATAATATATTGATTTACATGGCAACTACTGTGGTGTCTCATATATACAACAATACTTGGCGTACTGTGATACAAAATGCTTCTAAAACCATAGTAACTTAAAATTATAGTTCGAGCTGAGACAGTTCCAATTATACTACTGTTATATCCACAATAATATTTGATTCCTGAGATCGAACAGTCGGTGGCCCCTCTCCATTTACAATGGACATATCTCTTGAGAGATAGCAAGATGAATGAAGTAAGATTGTTCACATTTTTCTGGGTCCAGAACATTCGTCATTCTAAATGAAGAACCTTTGATCTGTGCTTCAAATGGTCCCAGTGTCGTATTCATGTACCCGGTACATTATTTGCTCAAGAAATTTATTTGTCACTCTCTCTCAAATTATTCTTTACATGACTAGTATGACATTTTAGCAGTCATGAATCGCTACACATATGATCACGTATGGACAGCTATTACAGTATGTGGTTTTTGGGGACTAAAACACATTGCTACTTGGGGGGTTTCCTTTGGTAACAAGTCATGTGACTTGCAGTAACACACTGGACAACCAAACAGTGTGCCCTTTTCCTTCAATTTCCGTGTGCTACATTAGACTGCCATTCAATAGAAAGGTCTTCAATGCTTATTATTTTATATACAGTGATGATAGCAACTGCTGCACTCTCACCTGAACATCTCTTCAGGTGTGACGTTCATATTGCTGAGGTTTGTACAATGCACTTGGTGAACAAACTACTCTGGAAAAGCTCGCCAGTCACACTGTTAAACATGCAGCGACGAAAGCCAGATATTGCAAACACGAAGGTCAATGGTTGGACGAACACACTGCGGTTGCCTTCAGCAGCACCACAACCAGGACAGTTCTCAACATGCGTAAAAACTACACTTTATAATGAGAACAGGCTTAAAATATTTCGGCCAAGATATGTTTGTGAAAGGTCGTAACGGTGGACGATTAACACTAGGTCGATCCACAAAAAACTTGCATAAGGTTCTGCTAAAGTTGGTTAACTTCAAGTAAGCGTGCATTAGAAAGTGAAAAAATGAATAATGGTACAAGTTTATGGGCTCTTCCTCTAAAGACGTTAAACCAGAGTCTCAAGAATTTCTTCTAATCTGCAACAATAGCTCTCATCAACTATATTATTTCTTCGCTCTTCAGAGGAAGCGTCTAAATATCTCCAAAAATGATGGTGCTCGCTAAGGGCAATAAAAGTACTAATGAGCAATAACGAGTATTATATACGAAATCAAATAACATCTGATAGAAGTATAAACAATGGCATTTGTCAATTCGACAAAGAATCCAGGGCCCGCTTGAGCTCCTCCACCAACTGGGATCTTGTGGATGCATCCACCTGCCAACAGAAAACATCACAATTAGTGCCATTCCAGATCTTTTGATTCAGATTTAAGATTTCTCTAGCAAGATAGCAAAGGAAGCTGTAGTATTGATTAAAGCTTACCGAGCGCAGCAGTGCGTCCAAACCCTGAGGGAGGGCCTTCAGTGCTGCAGTTGAGGATCCCAGGGCCACTAACTCCTTCTCAACGTGCTTTGCATGGAGCTTCTGCAAGTGCTCTTCCAAACCTGTTGGCTGTTTGCTCCATGCCAAGAATTGTGTGTCATCTGTCCATTCCCGGGTACCAGTTGCTGATGTAGTCGAGAAGATGTCTTTGATCAATGCCAAGGCTGCAGAATGGCTGAACTCCTGACCGCCAGCGGCTTGAAGCTGCCGAATCAGGCTTTCCTCTGCAAGTCTCCTCTTCAAACGCTGGAAGAAGAAATTTCGAGATTCGGTCCAATCCACAACCTGTACGTGTTGCATATTCGTCAGTACTCAATCAAATACCTGCTAATCTCAGCAAAAGATGGAGTCTTTAATGAAGAAGTCTAGTCAAAGAAAGATTGTGACAAGGCAAACTATGTAATCAGCAACGCACCTTCTTGATGACCCCCTTTGCGGCCATCCGGTTAGGAGTATCGTGAAGCTCTGCAAATTTGATTGCAATCTGCTTGTACACAGGAGTCAGTGCCTTCTCCCGGGCTTTGATTTGTTGCTGGATCCTATCTGATGCAGCAATGGGTGCTGTACCCTTAAGCTGCTGCAATTCCTGCCGCAAAGCTATGAGCTGAGGGTCAATGCGGTGCATGCACTCCAAGAGCTCCCGCATCCGGAACTTGATCTCAACCATACCTTCGGGCTCCAAGACTCCTCCCCTGGCTGTCTTCTCGGCGTACATCTCCACCTTGTCAGAGTTGATTTTGCTGTCCACCACCACCCACGCTCCACCACGAAGCTCACCAGTCTTGGGAATAAACACGAACACTGGCTGCTGATACACGCGCAGGTGCTCCACGATCATAGACCCGGCCTGCAGGATGCCTTCGAAGAGATCACGCTGCCCGCCAGAGAATCCTCGCCAATTTGCGAGGATAAAAAGGGGCAGGCCTTCCTTGTTAAAATCGATCAATGCTTGTGCTGTCTTCTGAGCAGAATCAGGGAACCAAACCTGGCCAGCTTGCGGTACAACGCGCTCATGGGAATCAAGCTGCCCGGGATCGGCTGGAATCTTTTGCATCACTGTCTGCGTCTCTACTGCTACTATTCCCACTGGGATACCACCTAACCTGGCGCGCCCGGTAACAACAGTTTGTGCCCAGCCTTCGAGAGTCTCGGTAAAGCTTCCTTTGTCAAAGATACCACCCAGCCACTTCCCATTACTGTCTAATCCACGAATTGCAGCGCGGGGGTCGCATGAGGTTTCTGGACAATACTCCACTGGTCTTTCAGGTGGATCTGCAGATTGCAGACAAGGAAGAGGGCCACCCACATGAGAGGGCACATAGCTCAGCCACTTCAAGATTGCAGAAACTCCTTCAAGGTCGTCAGCGACCGTAAGGTGCACAACACCATTGACAGCCATCACCTTAGGCCCTCCCAGCTGCATGTGGGAGCTGTAGACTTCTCTGCCAAGCAACTTATTCAGTGCTGAGAAGCCAGTCAGAATGATGGGCTGATCAAGCCGCTGAATACACCGCATACCAAGGCGAGCTAGGTAAGCACCAATTCCTACAGTTCGCCCTGACACGTAAGTCAGTGTAAAAGTCTCACGGTAAGCTTTGGAGAATGCTCCAGCAATTGCACCACTGCCTGAAAGGTTCTCTACTCCAAGTCCATCATCCTTCCCAATCACATCCTCGATCACCCATCTCACTTCGCCCGAGTCAAGTCTCAGTTCGTGGGCAATGACAGAGGACGACATGCGCTCGTAATCTTCTGGACGCAGGTATAAGTACTTGAAACCACGATCAGGAGACGATTCTTCAGACCAGCCGATGCGAAAGCAGGCACGAACTTCTTCGGCCACGCCAATGCGGGCACCTGAGTTGGCCGCAAGATAGATTAGAGGGAGCTTCTCACGACACGCTAAATCCGTCATAGCTTTGAAGTACATATCCTCCTTGGTCCCGAACGAGCCTGCACTGAAGGTCACATCGTTGGAGACAATCAACACTTTCCGTCCATCGGGGAATTCGGGTGTGCGCATGTGCATCAACCATCCAACCATACCCACGTTGTTCCGTGAAGAGAGACGGTCAGATTCCACGAGTTCAGTATCCCAGCCTCCGTTAGAATCCGCCAGCACAAGCTCTGTAGCCTTGAAAATTGGTTCAGATTCTTTCACTTTAACTGCAACCTCCGCAGCCTCTGCCCAACTATTGTGCAGAACTGTCTCAAATACCTGAAACGAGCCAATTCATTTTCGTGAGTTGCACTTGCTTAAACGACTATTCATAAATTCAAAGGATTTGTACATGTGTTGCAATCCCAGCAAGGTGGATGAACGTACCAGGGGGAAGTCATAGCAGTAAGTTGTGTTTTGGCGCCTTGCTGCTAGGCGCTTCTGATCAATGATATCCAAGGACTTGTACTGAGTGGATAGTGGCACACCATGCAGCGAGCCCGGCATAGAAGCGAAGGGCGAGCAGTACACCACCTTACCCGTATCTTTATCCTGTGCTTCTCTATACACCTGTATGTCACAAAAAAAAAAAAAAAAAAAAAAAAAAAAAACCATAAAAAAAAACCATAAAAAACCATAAAAAATGAGGGACTGATAAGAATTTTTTTAATATTGGTCGAAAATTCACTCTAAATTAGCAAGCTCAAAAAAGAGGTGAAAAGAAAGTCTATAAACCTGGATAATGCAGGTATGGCCAGTAGGATTGGAAACCACAACGCGCCATGCGCCATTAGCTGCCTGAAGCTCTTTCAGGCGAACACGGATTTCCCAACCAGCAATTGCAAGGCGGTGCATCCGTGCCCTCAGTTTTGAATATACTTCGTGAGCTAAACCTTCCAACGCATGTACTACTTTCTCAACTTCGTCAGTAGCGCTGGCATTCTCTTTCCTGCAGAATATTCAACCCTCTAAATCAGGAGAATAAATTAAACCCACTTGATACCACCAGAATGGACTAGCGAGATATCATATGTGCACAATTTGCTGAAAGATTGACCGTGATACCTCAAGTCATCAAGCTCCTGCGCCCTGAGTATGCAGAGATACAGATGGATATGGTCAGCCTTGCCGTTGGTATCATGAACAGCCAATTCCAACTCGTCCAGAGCTCCTTGAAGAGATTGGGTGATACTATCCTTGACTAGTGTGATCCCGCGTGTATCCTCTCCAACACTCTCGTCATTAACCTTGGGTTGCCGAATTAGAGCCCTCAAGAACATCCTACGAGTCCTGGTCTTTCCTTCAGTGGCATTATAAATGTACCACTGTCGGTTGCGTGATGGTGCGTACTGCATGCCTGCGAATCCCTTCAGCTTGACCTGCAAGAGTCGTTGTTAGGAACAATCAATGTAAGCTCCACGAAATTCTGATTTTATATTTTATTTGCAATTTCTTTTTTTTTTCATAATCCCAATGGTCCGATAAATAAGTTGGAAGAAGAGGGAGGGAGGTGGGGCTGGTAATCACCAGCTCGAGAAGGTTCGACAGTGGTGGTTCAACATGTCGCAAAAGAGGCTCTTCAGCAAAATAATGGTGCTCATGAGACCACTGGAAGCAATGGCGGGTCGGTGCGCGACCTTCATCACGTTGGATGATGCAGCTTACCACCCCCACACCAGATACTTGAAGCATGGCGCCCAAGCTCTCACCCTTCAGAGCCTTGGCCAGCTTCTCAACTCGTTCATTGATTTGGTCCTCGTCCCCACTGTATTATGCACAAGAGTTTGGTAAACAGGAAAACGTTATAAAAAATACACAACAAATAAAATCAAACAAAATAAAATAAAAACATCATACTAACATCTACAATATCAGCTGAAGTTGGACATAAACTCAGCGGGAAACTAAAAACCGACCTGTCTTGGAATGCACTCATTGGATTGTTGATCCCAACTAGAGCAATATGTAGGACATTGCCGAATCCACTTGGAGCACCGACAAATGACCGATTCCTACGGGGGCTTCCAGCTATAATGTTGTGGTGGGAAGCTGCAGATGATTTTGTGGTCGGTGAAAGAATGCTTTCTGCGTCCTTCAGGGCAGCCCCAACAGCATTGGAGAGCACCTGGAGTGATGTGAGAATTACCATAGCTCCCCACCTTGGAACACCTCGACTATCGTCATCATCTGTTACCTTTGCAGTCCTAAGCTTCTCGGCGGTCGGAGGAGGATACTCTTCCCAAAACTGCCAGGTTGCAATCAACCCGGAGCGGTGCCACTGCATCCTCACTGAGCCAGGCACAAGATATGGCTGCACAATTCAACCGAAATAGGATTGATGACACTAAAAATAAATGACAACCATTGTGAAATGTTCATCCCTAACATACAATTGATCAAAGTACTCATATTGAGTTGTAATGGTTCGAATTTCGTTGCAGACTACGTCAACAAAATGATTCAAGACAACCGCAATGATCCTTTGTAACAATACAGAAGGCAAGTCTAACAGAATTCATAAATTTCATAAGATCAAGCGCTTCCTTAACTTTGTCAGATGAACAAGTACCTGGTAGAGCCTGCGAATGTAACTCTCAATGACACGGCGCTGCAAGGTGTGGTCACTGTGATCAAACAAGGCCACCAGGGCATCTTCAACAGGTAAAGGTGCATCCACCAGAGCCTCCATACGCTCCTGAATGGCACTTCGGCGCTTACCAGTGTGGTGACCCTCCCCTCCATCCTCAGTAAACATCTCCAATTCAGACAAGTTTCGAGCTATGTTGGACCGCAGCTCACTTAGTTTTGTTTGCTCAAGAAGTTGACTAGCCCGCAAAGCCAGCTGCGCTCATTATGAAAACACTTGTAAGAATGTCAAGAAAAACAAGATAAACTTAAAGAATTTCCATGAAATAATCCAATTGGCATTCGATTGCTTTGAGATTAACACAAACATGCAAAAGGAAGAGAAGGTAAAGTAAATGTACCTCAGAGTAGTTACTATGATTAAGATCTGCAAAGCGGATGAGTTGGTCACGGTAGGCAGCAGGATTTGGGTACACTAGGGCTCCCATCAGTCTTAAGATGAGCTGATTTTTCATCTTAACACCCTGAAGTCACAAAATATCGACGGGAATCGTGTTCATGATGGTTCAAAATAAAATTGAAAAAAGTTCAGTTTACAACATGCTAGGAAGAAAATGCAGCTGAGAACAACTGTATCTGCAGCTTTAGAGAAGGAACTCACTAAGGCTTCAGGTTATGAGTCTATCTTACCTGGTGCGACAACACAATATCAACAACCTTCGATAGGTCTTTCTTATGTTGCTGCCGCAATCCTTCAATAACATCAGCCTACAATCACCAAAGGTTCCAAACACTTGTTAGCCGCTACCAATCAAAATGTTTATCATGAGCCAATATCAAGGATAGTTATCTAATTTTCAGCTTCAAACTAGTTAACTTGAATTTGAAAATTTTCGCATCACTGTAAGCTTCATATTTTCACCATACGACCATGATTAAAGAAACTTTAAAAACTTATAGCACGGTGGAGAATTCAGCATATTCTCATTGCTATGATGAGTTATGAAATTTTTCAAAGCAGACTCCAAAAACAGTAGCAGCAAGCAGGTGCATAATCATACCTGCGCATTCTCATTAAAAAGTTCTTCGACATGAAGATACCCGTTAAAGAGGGTTTGAACAACGCTACAAGCATGTCCTTCTCTTCCGCCCTCGTAAGATCTAGTCAAAAGTAATAGAGGCTCCACAAGGCGATCTAGAGTCACTCGGTCCTTCTCAGGGGATTTCGCCAAGAACGTCTGTGACATTAAGAATCATGTTTGAGCCCAGATAATCTCAAGCAACAAGGTTTAAAACTTCAAGCAGAAGAACATGGTCAGCGAGCGGCATTGCACACCTCGATGATTCCAGTGAGAGCCTTGGCTGGGAAGTCCGCTCCCTCTCCATCCTGCTGGAAACTGCTCTCATATTCACGGAATTTTGCATCAAGCTGCTCACACAGTGCAAAGTGTTAGCTACAGTTCCTCGTACAGAATGGTCTAATGAAGTGCAAGATAAAAAAATCCGCAAATGATGTGCACGACTAATTAAGAAATGTCTTGCCTGTGATTTCAAATCCTTAGGGAGACGAGTTGCAAGAACAGCCATGCATTCCTGCCATTGCAGTAAGGGCAACTGTGGATCATCCAAACAGCTGAGCAACGTCTTCACCACCTGCCAGACGGCAACCCAACGTTGTGATGTTAGTTGATGTTAGTTTTGGAAGGAATAATTGCTTTAAAATGATCATGTCGATTCGGTTTCATCATTGAAATACAAATACGAGTAATCACCTCATCGAGATCATGCTCGTAACCAGCTAAGATGTTCCGCGCAGCCTCGAGGGCGTCAGCGCAGCGTTGATGAACTTTAGCGGCAACGGCAGTGGGAAGTCCCAAGGGTGGAAAGCCGCCCTCAAAAGGCTGAGCCTTCCTTACAGCTGAGGGGTCGTCAAGTTCCAATGAGGCTATGAGATCCCCACCCTAAAAACCACGCCACAAACAAAATATTAAATTCTGTAAAGTACTACAAAATTTCCTTAACATTTGAAAATGAGAAATTAGCGATGCATGTACTCTCAGAAAATCACTTACCAACATAGCTGAACCCTCCGTCAATCTAAATTTGATAGTTCCAGCTGCGGGGCTCATAAGGGGCATGCACATCTTCATGACCTCCACCTCTGCATATGGAGTATCGGCATCTACATGGCTGCCATCTGGTACTAGAAAACGCATCAACTTACAAGGCGTTTCAGCAATTAGCCGCGATGGGTCGTGATCATTCTGCACAACAAAAACTACACCCAATTGGTACTGCGAACCTAGGAAAAGAAAACTTAATAACCATGAAATGCAGCGCATTCAAATATTAAAGAAGCATAGTCTTATGTCAAGGATCACATTACGGACCTGCAAAAGGCATGTGCGTCCATCGATAAGTAAGCGAGTACCAGCTGCCTCTTCTTCTGCATAGACCACGTGACTGTTTCCATCGAGCTACACAACCAAGCAGTTGAAAAGGGTGAGTCTCTATATCTGGGAAGTTCAACAGAAAACAAAGGGGAAGCAAAGGGAACAGAAGCCTGAGATCCCTGTGAGGATTCCTTACTTTTGACTGACTTATTGAGAATTACTGCCTTTGAACTCTAAAAAAATAAAAGGAATAATAATAATAATAATCTCAAGGAGATTCTGGGCAGAAAAACCAAGCAAGAAGCTGACAGGCTTGCTGAGTAGCTGGAGTTCAAGTTTGCACCTGAACAAGAAGACCTCCATCTCGAAGAGTGTGCGCTTCAGCATACACTGCAGAATCGTTCATCCGAAGCAGATAGCTACCTGGCCCTCCTTTAGTCAACTCCAACTGCATAATTACGGACACAAGTTTATAATCAAGCCAGACTGGAAAGTTGATTCAACAAAGTGCGGTTTCGGCCAGGAAATATTTACACGGTGAGTAGTTTTGAAAGAATCATTTTTCAAAAGATAGAAAAATACTGTGGAAGAATCAGCTTACATTGTACTTGGACCCCTCAATATTCAGAGAAATATTTAAATTGACAAGGGAAATATTCTGCAAAAAATACCTCAATAATAATCAGTATTTCAAGTACACAAGCACTCGCAATGCACTAACAGATCATGCTTCAAGATCGTTACGTGGGGCTAATGTGTGCACCTTAGGTGGAATTTGTCCCTTCTCCAAGTATCCAATGTACTCAGTTACACGAGCTGCAATTAGTCTGCTTGCTTTCTGATAAGAAACACGAAACAACCGTGTTCAGACTGAGGTCATTCAGCTGTCAACGAACCAATTTACAGCTTACAAGTCGATACATACTACTTGATTACTTTTGTTGCTGAACGAAAATCTTAAACAATGTAAATCTTGAAAACATCTCACATATAGAGCACCGCCCACGACAGATATTTCCCAAGGAGGCCGTTCTGCTCGCACTCTCATAGCAATTCGGCTATCCAACCACCCTGTGTGAATCCTATTCTCTTTATATTCAGGCGCCTGCACATTCACAAATGTATAGTTCTGAATTCAATCCTCGTGTGCTCCCAAGCAAAAAATGTGTAAATCATGTACCCGAGACTTGGTTGGCTCAGCTCTTCTAAGCTTTTCTAGAAAAAAGTGACAAGCATAAGATCGGCACTTACATGGAGGATATCAACAGTGTAGTCAACATTGGTGCGAATCTCTCCTCGTATGTGAAGCTCCTTGAGCCCCAGCACCATGTTGGCAATGGCCATTGCTCGTGTTTCTCCAAAAGCAAAAACATGACCTGCATACCAGGTAAAGCATATTGAAATTCTAAGTACTACTGGGTGAGATCTGTTACTTGTTCAAGATCCAACTCCCTTGGTTCAATGTGTAACCTGATCTTGTAATATTTCGATTTTAGAACACTTACCGAATTGAGAATCAGAAAATTCGTGAATGCCACCTCCAGACTGTAAAGACAGAGATCACAGCAAATCGCAGATCAGTTTTCTTCTAGAATTTTGTATTAAAAACTCTTCTTACAAACAACCATCTTCCAGAACAAAATTTCGGTCACATCAGATACTCTCAACAGTCTAATTCAACTTCCTGGAATGTGACCTGACATTGTTCATGCACCAAAGCAGTGGATGAGCTGGCATCACACAATCTACAGCAAGGAGGCATTACTAGGTACCTTGACTGAAAAATAAGCCCAAACATTGGGTTTACTCCTAAAACTGAGTTCCTGCACTTGGCCACTGGTAGGCTTAAAGCCATCATCAGGGTCTTCACTTGTGACTCGCACAGCTACAACATGACCCTTAGGTTTCTGAGAATCAACTTCAGACAAATCGAACTGAACTGCTTCTTGTGCAACCGTCCTCCAAGAATCGTGGCTACCACCTCCTTGACCAAAAAGACGGCGAATTTCTGCTCATTCAAAACCAAGGCAATCGAGAATCAACACAATTTCATTATGACCTTCAGCTATTCACATTTTTAAAGGTCATCAGGATCAGATCAATTATTTCAACAATTGATCTTCACTGTAAAAAAAATTTGAATAGGTGCCCATTGTAATGATCAAAAACACGTTTTCAACGAAAGGCTGTACGTAGGGTAGAGTCGAATAGAGGTCCCAAGTCGAGAAGAGGTCCTTACCTGGCATGCGCCACAGTGGAATGCCCATGGCAACACCGAGTTGAGCTGCTGGCAAGTTGAATTCAGCAATCCACTCGGTGACAGGGTGCTCTACCTGCACAATCAGGACCTCAGTATGAGAGCCTAGAGAAGTTCATATTATAATGTTTCAGCTGGCAATTGCTTAGGAACTTTAGTGAAGACCATTGACCTACACAAAGAGCCTGAATGAATACCTGAAGACGAGGATTAAGCTCCAAAAAGTAAAATTCTCCGGTCTCCATGCTGTACAAATACTCCACGGTAGCGGCTCCAATATAGTTGACACACTTAGCAAGCCGGCAGGCTCCTTGTTCCAATCGCTTCACTGTTTCCGGAGGTGCAATCGTGATAGGCCCTTCCTCAATAATCTATAGCAAGTTTTATCAATCCCAAATATAAGTTGCATGAACAAAACAACAGATTACTGTGTTTAAAAGTCGATAAAATAAAAGAAAAAAGAAAAAAGAAACAAGAGGCTCTGATTGACACAATGAGAAAGGAAAGTGTGAAGGCTACCAGTTGAGACTCACCTTTTGATGCCGTCTTTGCACACTACAATCACGGCTGTGCAGAGCTGCTACATTTCCATACTTATCACAGAGCAGCTGAACCTCGAGATGTCGACTCTGTGAAGCAACCTTCATGATGAAGATTGGCGAGCCTGGCACTTCCCCCTGTACTTGCTTGAACAATGCCTTCACTTCTTCATCGTTATGCACCTTACGGATACCTTTCCCACCACCTCCCCAGGAGGCCTTGATCATAGCCGGGTACCCAACTTCTTGGCACGAAATTAAGGCTTCTTCGGTGGTAGACACGCACGCCTTTTTATACAAATCGTCTGGAATGTTGCCTTGGCAGACATCGAAGGGCACATTTACCTGCAAGCCAAGAGCTATTATGGCTTAATACTCCCCAAGAAAAGTATACCGCTCTATTCTGTCAACTCTTTTCAATTCAGTGACTGAAAGTCACAGCTTTTCAAGAAGGGAAATGTGTCGCAAACAGAATATTTGATTTAGCTTACATTAGAGCCGCTCCACGGAAGTGTGGGCACACCAGCTGCCTGCGCAATGAGCGAAGACCCAATTTTATCGCCAAGCGCACTCATTGGCCCCGCTGGAGGACCCAGGAACAGAATGCCTCGCGCCAAGAGGGAGTCTGGGAGCTCGGGGTTTTCAGATGCGTGACCCCATCCAGGCCATACGGCTTGCACCCCGGTTCTCTCTGCAATCTGCAAGCCAATACGCGTAAATTGGAGACAATAGAGAATAAAAACAACCGTACATTACCATCCAGTGAACAATTCTGGTGGGTACTTGCAGTGAAGAATAGCAAGGAGAAGGAGCACAAACCTCCACAATCAATTGTACGTTGGCATAGTTGTTGTTGTTGGTGCCGCCGGGAACTTCCACGAACTGATCAGCCATGCGGATGTGCTCCGCATTGATGCGCATGTCTTCAGGTGTTGCCATAGCCACCAGCAGCACGGCTCTCTCGACTCCGAAGCTTTCGTACGCCCACGAGCGCACGCTCCGCATGAACTTAACAGCCGCCATGCCATTGTTCGCAATCAGAATGCTACGTATTGGGTCCGTGCCTCCTAGAGCGCTGCAATACTCTTCCACAGGAGAGACATTCACAGCTTTCTTCTTCTCCATGGGTTTATGAAGCTCGTTCACGGCCGATGCCGGCCGTACCACCTCGAGGGCCACCATGGTGGGACTTCGCCCTTCTCCACCACCCTACAGCCTCTTCCAGAGAGACCCTTAATCTCAAATTAGACCACTTCTTTCGACTCCTGACGAAGATGCTTTTTTGGAGCCTGCTTTTCTCTTCACCTCACCTGCGTCACCGCGCAGCCACCCCTCAATGTGAGGAAATATTCCACCTAAGCTGGTATCTGTAAGAAATGGAAGCTAAACGACCCTTGTCCGAAGCTCCAGAGAACTTTAGAGAGAGCGAATTAAAAAAAAAAAAAAAAAAAAAAAAAAAACTGGATTGAACAGACGCAGTCAGTAATCGCAAACTGGTGAAACTTTTTTTGCTCACAATCCCAGCTACACCCAAAATAACCTTCAACACGCTAGGGCAGAGTCAGGAAATGCCAAAAATGCCAGATCACTCCTATTCCTCGAAAAGAGAAAACTCTGAAAAAAACTTAAACAAAGATGACCTTTCGTTCATTCTGAAATCTCTCCGCTACACAAGCAAGCCACGCTCATCGCAAAGCCCCCTCGCAATCACACAATCCACAAGAATTCTTTCTAAACCAAGTGTGCTTTCTCTAGCTCACTCTCTCGAACACGTACAAAGGAATGAAGCAAGAAGAGATCTTCGTCGTCTTCGTCTTCTCCTCCTCCTTCTTCTTCTTCTTATTCTGCACTTTGTCTAATTGTAATGATGTACAGCAATCAGCCAACTGTGCTGCCTATTACCCACCCACTCGCAAACCCACAAATTTTGATGCCAGTTCAAGCAGCACAAGCCGCGACACACTCCCTCAAAAATGAACTAATCGACAAATTCGTCTGGAAAAAAAGGCTTCTACAGCAGAGAGAGAGATAGGGAAAGAGTGAGAACAGACGCAACAGAGCAGGCGAGTGGATGGGGCACTGGGAGGTAATAATGGGCGAGGTCGCAGGGGAGCAACCAGAGTCATGAGCTGCTCTCTAATGGCGTTGGTGTCAAAATAAGCTCCCCACCCAACATTTACGTACTTCGTTTGGGCTTGTCCCGAGTGCAGCCACAAATAGCATGGCAGCGGGTCGATGCATCCCCCGTCGATCGTCAAACCCCAACCATTGAAAAAGCGCAGAATGACGAAGAAAAAGGACCGCAAAAGGTATACCCACAGGGCTGGCGAAGCAAGACTTTGACTGCGAGCTCTGACAATCAATCTTCAACGCCTCCGCGTGACCTTCTTCTGGGTGAACAGTAGCCCAGCGACTACCAGTCAAACCACGAAAGCCCAAAGACATGGCCCAGGAACCATCTCACTCAATTCCTCACTCTCGGAAAAAAGCGGACGACACCCAACAATCAGTGACCAGGGGGGATCAATACCCATGATTCTCCGCAACAGTTTCTCACTGAATCGAAGCTCCTCCTCCCTCCTCCTCCCTCCTCCTCCCTCCTCCTCCCTCCTCCTCCTCCTCACTCCATGATTCCTCTGTCCCCCCACGAAGATCGCGCTCTCCCTCCCCGGCTCCGAATCACCCCCCCCGCTCGAGACATTCAACCAAGCCCACGCTTCACCTCAACGTCCCCGGCCGGTGGGCAGCCGGGCTGGTTCGACGGACGAGGGGATGGTCCGACGTACGGGCGGATGGACGGAAAGAAGGAAGTATTTCGTCGGTGGGGTGAACGTCGTCGAGTCAGCTCTCCGTCGGTGGCACCGTGGGGAAGAAGGCCCTCGTGGCTATCGCCCCCTTTTGAATCCCCTCTTCTTCTTCTTCTTCCCGCTTTCGCCCTCCGTCACTTCCTTTTTGGTTCACTGCTCCCCTTTTTGTAATTCCTCTCGTTCTTTTGCATCTTTCTCAATCGTTGTGTGTGTCTTTGGGAAAAAGTGCCTAAGTAAAAGTAAAATATTTTTTAATAATACGTATATATGTGTGTATGTATGTATGTATGTGTATAAACATGCGTATGTGTGTATGTGTGTATAAACATATGTATGTGTGTATATGTATATGTATAAACACATAATTTAGTTTTGATACTCATACATTAGATAATTGTAAAAATATAAATACTTTGCATTGGATCAATTCAGTTATTTAAACTAAAATTCAGTATATCACCTTAGTTATTTGCTATTGATTCAGATTTATACTTTTCTAATGCACACTTGAAAGAATATAATTGTATTTTAATGAAATATGAGTTAAAGTGAAAAATATATGTGACTCTTGAAACAATTATATTAATTTGATGTAAAGTAGGTAATTATATTATTTATGGGCATGTTCAAAAAAATTTAAAAATGCAAAATCAAACATAAAAATTATTATCCAACTTCAGCTTTTCTTTCTACATTATTTTTTATATCAGTAGTTATAACACCTTTATAAATATTTTTTCCCATCGGTGATCTTTGAAGATAAAACTTTCAACTTGTGCGTGTTTGTATTGTTAGAGTACTTTGTTTTCTGCTATCAATACGTTTAATTGACCATTTCAATATGTCTTATCAAATATATATATATATATATATATATATATATAGATATATCTTGATATCCAGGGCTATTGTTTCATGCAGTTGATTCATCAACTATTTATTTTATAAATTAATGATATTAAAATCTGAAATGCAGTCTTTAAATGATAAATTGAACAATTGAAAATCGTAAAATTAATTTCAACAAAAAAATTATTATTTTGTAAGTGATATAATTACTTTAAAAATATTAAGCACATACCATTGGGAAAAAGCTAAAAATATACATGTACGACGAGTTTTTAGAAACATCGCCCTTCTTTATCTACAACTTGTTGATTACTAATTCAATTATTCATATATTTTCTATTTTGCAAATTGTGATTGTCTTTGTTATTTGTGCTTTCTTGAAGGATGTACCAAATTCATACATTATCATCATGCTTCACCCACAATTTCTTTCCATTACAAACGATTCTTGTGGCGTGGCCAAAGTCATTTCACAACATTATGAATTCTATATCTTAACATGTTTCAGGTCATCCTAAAAATAATAAAAGAGGAAATAGAACCACTTGATTTTTATTTTATATTTTATTGCTTCTATTTTATAATGCAAAAGGAATATATTTATCATGTAATATTTGAAAAAAAAATACAATATTGTCACTACGTCATACTATTACATCACACCAAATTAAATGGTCCTTCATATTTTTCTAAACGATTTCATGCTAGAATTGTATGTTTTTATAAACATGCTCCTACAAAATTTGTAGATATATATATATATGTGTGTGTGTGTGTGTGTGTGTAAAATTATAAATAGCAGTTTATTTAGTATTATTTATAATCCGAACTTAGTACATAAACCAGAAAAAGTGCAAAAGATTCTCCTAGTTTCTCAAAATCATGTAGTGCATTGACAATGAAGAATGGATAGAGAATGTTCCAGATGTTTGATTCAACACACCCACATTTCTTTCCATAGTCAAGGGGCACAGTGAAAAAATTGTCAACAGCTTGGGGCCATGTTACACCCACAAGACGAAACAAAGCGGAGGCATAAGAGGGGAGGAAGAAACAATTTGTGAAAAAGTGGGATAAAAGTAAAAAAGGTAAAAAGGGAAGACGAAGGGGGAAAAGAGGGAAGAGGCGAATGCAGAAAAGTCCAAGGACGGGAACGCGTCCCCTAGTGCTTTTTGATGGGAACCTGGTCCCAAGTCCCCCCCCCCCACCTCTTGAAGAAAGTATGAGTGAGTGGACTTGTGCACAAAGCATGAGTCCGCCCCCCGCCCTTCTCTGTTGACCTCCCCCCAAACCCTGCCTTGGGTCCCCGACGGTGTGAATCAGGCTCCACAGATGGGAACTAGGGAACTGTTCCACTGGGGATGTTATGTTCCCTTCCGCCTCAGACAGTGTGAAAAGAAACCCGTTGATGGGAACACGTGGAACTGTTCTCCTCGGGCTGTTACGTTCCCTTACCATTCTAACAGTGTGAAATTGGGAGGGCCGATGGGAACGAACACAGGAACCGTTCCCTACGAGCCGCTGTTCATCCAGGTGAAGTTCTCTTCTTTTCTTTCCTATTTTCACTTTTTCCCTTTTGACATGTTATTCAATATCTTTTATCTCTCTCTCGTCCTCTTTTTTGTAACTTTGGTTTTCTTTTTCTTTTTGCTTCATTTTCTTTTTTGTGGTGGTGTGTGTGTGTGTGTGTGTTTAAGGATGGCATTTGGGGTTGTTGGCTCATGGTTTGTTGGTTGGTTTTGAATAATAATATCAACCCTGCTGACATGGAACTGTTTGTTGGAGTAGTAGTAATGGGGGAGAGGGTGTCAGATCCTCCCATGCAATTGGGGTGAATAATAAGGGAATGATAAATGTATTACAAAGAAATGATGAGGGGGGGGGGATCAATGACAATTAAAAATTGCCCACCAGTCATGACATGAGTCAAGTTGAGTTGGTGTGATAATACAACAATGCCTCCCCATTTAATGCCCCCCCCAGGCCTGCAGTACTCTATCCTTCCATTAAAGCATTGCAGCATGTATCTATCTATCTATCTATCTATCCATCTATCTATATTATCCACATTTGCAGGTTTCATTTATTCTTTGTAAGTGCACAGGATTGTTGATGGGGTTGGGTACTACTTGTGGATATCCATGTATGAATTCGAACTCTCTGTTAAGTCTCATTTTCATGGAAGATTGAGCACAGCTCAAGCTTTTAAAATATTGTGGAATGAATGACAGGAAAATTAATTAATTAATAATATATATATATATATATATATATATGTGTGTGTGTGTGTGTATGTGTGTTTTGAAGGAGTAGGGGTATAAGGAAAGGGAAGAAGAGTTGCTGCAGCATTTTACTTTTAAAAAAGTTTACATCAAAATGTGGGGTGATGGTGAGGATGACAAGATAGAATATTGGTAGTTTTGGACTATTGTTACTGTAGGTTAACTTGTATATTTATTTATTTTTGTATTTCACTAATTTATTTTAATGTTGAAGAGTCTTCTGTACAGCTTATTGTTCTACAAACTTATTGATGTTCTACTTATTAATTTTGTTCTACAAACTTATTGATGTGCCAAAAGAAACAGAATCATTGTGCTTTTTATGTTTTAGATGATAAGGCACACTTCCATTCTGCTTCATAAATTTGATTTCAACTGTAATTCAATTACTGATTGAATTGTTTTTTTAAAAATAACCCAATAAAATTTCAATCACTGTTATTTACAGATGCACGTTTAATGTATGTATATTTTCGTGATTTTTCATAAATAAATTTCTAATTCTTTCATGCAAAATATTTATGTAGGAGGTTTTTCAATATATTTATTAAAAACAAATTAATAGATTCAAGATAAAAAAATGAACTACAAAAAGTGATTTATGATTTTTTATTTTATATATATATATATATATATATATTTAAAGCTCAAAACTTTGGCTATGATATCAAAAAGTGGAATTTCTAATATGATTTAATTAAGTTAAAATATTAATATGTTTTATTTTTAAAAAAAAATGATTATAATTACTATGTCTAAAAACATTTAAATGTATATATTTTTTTTAGAGTACATATATGCATGTATAAGTATCAAAATTAAAATATTTTTTAACTAATTTAAAAGATATAATTTTATGTAAATTTTGATGTTTTATAAATTAATGATGGTTTTTTATGCTATTATATTTATATTATAAATCTCAACTTGGTTTTTTTAGTATATATATTTTGTCAATTTAATATATTTACAATTAGTTAATAATAATCAATAACTTTTGAAGTTGAAATATATATATATATATATATATATATCTTTCTATAAAAAGAAATATTATAAATATTATGTAGACTAAATTATCTTTATAAGAATATGATTTGACTTGAATTATAATACATATATAGATTTTAAATTATACTGGTTATATTTTTATTTTAATATAATGTATAAATGCAAAGCCATGTCTATCACAAGTTATTATTAAATTCATCTATTTTTACATATTTCTATTTACTCATATTATTTAGGTGATTATAAAAATAAATATGTATGTTTGTGATATTACATCTTTTCTTAGACACAAGTTCCACAAGCAATAGAGATTATATATTGAA